ATTTACTTTCATCTGAAAAGAGGACTTTGGACCACTGAGCAACAGTCCAGTTCTTTTTCTCCTCAGCCCAGGTAAGACGCTTCCGACGTTGTCTGGGGCTTGACACGAGGAATGCAACATTTGTAGCCCATGTCTAGGATTCCACTCAACTTTCTATGAATATGCTTGGATACAGCACTCTGTGAACAACCAACTTCTTTAGGAATTAACTTTTGTGGTTTACCCTCCTTGTGGAGGGTGTCAATTACTGTCTTCTGGACATCTGTCAAGTCAGCAGTCTTCCCCATGATTGTGTAGCCTACTAACCCAGACTGAGAGACCATTTAAAGGCTCAGGAAACCTTTGCAGGTGTTTTGAGGTAATTAGCTGATTAGGGTGTGACGCCATGACTTTACAATATTTAACTTTTTCACAATATTCTAATTTTCTGATACACTGAATTTTGGGTTTTCATTATCTGTAAGCCATAATCATCAAAAGTGCAAGAAATAAAGGCTTGAAATATTTCACTCTATGTGTAATGAATCTATATAATATATGGGTTTCACTTTCTGAAATGAGTGACAAAAAATATTGACCTTTTTTATGATATTCAATTTTTTTTTTTTAGATGTACCAGTATATGCATGCAGGGCATAATTTGGCAAATATCCACTTATCAAAATTCAAAAATGGGAAAATTATGGAAGCATTTAAAACTCTGCCACTATTATAAAGCACAGAAATAGCAAGAGTCAGTCCAGATGTTTCACTTACATCTACTGACCCCCATCATTGATGCTCTGGACTAGAACAATACTGACAAACTAAGATTCAACCAAATTATAGCATGAATAAAACACAACTACATTACATACTAGGATAATCAAAAACAACAACAACAAATAAAAAATCAATGGTAAAAGATGGATGGATGGATTGTGAGGTTTATCTACTTGCATACCAACAATGAATTATTGTCTCTATTCTTTTGTTTCTATTCTATTAAAGACAAAGCCACAGGGAGAAATCCAACTCCTCAGAGTCCAGCTGTGTGTCCATGAAGGGTGACAGATATTTGGGCAGTCCAGTAAGATTTAAAGGGAGAGACACATCAACTGATCTAAGGTATAATATTCTGTCTTGACCGACCACATTCTGGATATGTGATTGCATCTATGCTTTTATAAATAACAAAGTAAATATTAACTAGCTGTCCCCCCCTGGACTCTATCTGTGTGTTTTTCCCTCTCCATGTGCCTGCCCTGACTTATAGTTTTATAGGTTTATGAAGTTTATCATGAATAAATGTTACATAAAGTGCATAATATAAAATAGGCCTACAAAACATTTTTTTATCCATCCTATACAGTCTTGTAAGTCCATTAACTGATCGTCTTTTCCCTGTAATATTTGTATATTATTATTAATAGCCTATTATTATTGGTAATATTTTTATATTAGTTTATATTAATTTTCCCTTCATTTCGATCTCTTTACTTAACGTTCTGAATACTTTTGTAAATCTATTCTTTTGTTTCTATTCTATTAAAGACAAAGCCACAGGGAGAAATCCAACTCCTCAGAGTCCAGCTGTGTGTCCATGAAGGGTGACAGATATTTGGGCAGTCCAGTAAGATTTAAAGGGAGAGACACATCAACTGATCTAAGGTATAATATTCTGTCTTGACCGACCACATTCTGGATATGTGATTGCATCTATGCTTTTATAAATAACAAAGTAAATATTAACTAGCTGTCCCCCCCTGGACTCTATCTGTGTGTTTTTCCCTCTCCATGTGCCTGCCCTGACTTATAGTTTTATAGGTTTATGAAGTTTATCATGAATAAATGTTACATAAAGTGCATAATATAAAATAGGCCTACAAAAAAATTTTTTTATCCATCCTATACAGTCTTGTAAGTCCATTAACTGATCGTCTTTTCCCTGTAATATTTGTATATTATTATTAATAGCCTATTATTATTGGTAATATTTTTATATTAGTTTATATTAATTTTCCCTTCATTTCGATCTCTTTACTTAACGTTCTGAATACTTTTGTAAATATTAGCCTACTGTAAATGCTCGACATGCCAATAAGCTTTGATTAAGCTGACTGGAATTTTTGCTGGAATGCAGTTTAAATTGAACATACAGTATATTTAATTTTATTTCGGCTAATAAATAGACCATAATTATAAATACTATAGTGTTTGTAGCGGAAACCTGGCAACCCTGCACCAGATAGAGCTGTTGGCGATTCTTCCTATTGTAAATTCATGCAGTGTGTAACCTCCTGTCGTAGTTCCATCGTGCAGTGTGAACACAGCAACAACTGAATGCTAGCCCAGATAGTCGTTCAGTGTGAAACCAACAGTGATGCGACGTCTTTGAAAATCATGCAGTGTGAACTTGGCATAAGGGAAACGCAAAAATGATCATGATATTATGTGTCATAAACGTTATCAACTGTCAAAAACAGTAGCATTTAACACTAGTACACACAGATCTGTAGAACAAGTAGGTTACAGAATGAAATGAAATACGCAAAAACTAGCCATGAAGAAGTCTATGCTATGTCATTCAGTATAGTAACATTTCCCCAAATCATGCAATAAACTTTCATAAGAGCAGTAGACAAAGTTATTGTAGTTGTGTATTGTTGCAATAAACAATAAGGGGGAAGAAAGAAAGCTAAAAAAGTAAATAATTAAACAACACTGCGTAGTCAAAATCTCATGATATAAACGATTAAGCGCCTATGCACAGGATATTTTAAACGCAGGCCTACAAAAGTATATTTTATATATATGGCTAGACGGCAAATAACCTACTTTTCCGCTCTTCAAACACACACAAACATTAGCCTTTTACAGACATAGTGTTTGAAGAAAATGCTTTACTATTCAAACATCAGTTATTTACCCTTGCATTACGAAAAAGCAGAGAAGCTGAGAGCTTGAGGATCCAATAGCGTTACGAAGTTTTACTGAGAAGCCCTTTGTAATATTAGCATTGGTTAAATATTTGTAAAACCCTCTGATTTCTATTATTTAATAATAACGAATTATAATAGAGATTCACGGCACACCTGACTGGGCTAGGGTATGGCAACTGCCATACTCTGCCATACAGAAACGCCGCCCCTGGTTCCCACATCCAGCCTAGAGAAAGTTCCTGTTCCCACGTCCAGCCCTGAGAGGGCTCCTGGTCCCAAGTTAAGCCCGGAGGCTCATAAATGCCCGCCAACCCACCCTCTCCTGCCTCCTCCACTGCTGTTGTCTGGCAGCCCCTCTGCTCGCCCTCAGCCCACCATCAGCACGGTGTGAGCTCCGCGGGACTGCCATCCTCCAGCGTCGCTGTGGCTGGAGTATCCCTTGATTCCGCCTCCAGCCCTTAAGCCCCGGATTCCACCTCAGCCCATTGACCCGTCGGCTCCACCATGGATCCTAGCCCCCTCCTCTCCGCCATGGCCCGGCAGTCCACTAGCTCTGCCAGGCTCCCTCGTCCCTCCGGCTCCGAGGTAGGCTAGCAAATGCTAGCATAATTATACAAATTATACAAAACTAGCTAAAGCGCTACACAAATTGAAAGGGGAAATAAGCATATATAACAATAAATATAAAAATATAGCCCTAATAAGTTAATGTAATAATAATAATATGCAAATATTAAATTAAATATTTAATGTTAATAAAAATGTTTTATACATTTTTGATACTCCCCGGTTGCTATGGTCATGCAGGTTTGTTTACACATTAAACTCATGGCCACAAGAAAAATATGTCGTTCCCTCAACATAAGAACATAAGGATGTCATTATCTCGACAAAATGATCTCGTGGCCACGACATAATATCACGTTCCCACGAGTTAATATGACGTTCCCTCAAATGAATATCTCGTGGCCATGACATATTATCGCGGGACTGCCATCCTCCAGCGTCGCTGTGGCTGGAGTATCCCTTGATTCCGCCTCCAGCCCTTAAGCCCCGGATTCCACCTCAGCCCATTGACCCGTCGGCTCCCCCATGGATCCTAGCCCCCTCCTCTCCGCCATGGCCCGGCAGTCCACTAGCTCTGCCAGGCTCCCTCGTCCCTCCGGCTCCGACTTGGTCTGGCGTCGACCATCCTGCGCCTCGGGACTCCACTCCTCTGGCTACGCCTCGTCCCTTCGTCCTTTTGGCTCTGTCGGGTTCCTTCATCCCTTCGGCACCTCCTCAGTCCTCTGTCGCTCCGGCTCCACCTCGCCCTTTCGGATCCATGCCTCCGTGTCAGTCTCTGGCACCATCTGCTCCGCCTTGGCCCTCCGGACCCTCCCCGTCGCCCAGGCTTATAGGCTCTCCGTCTCTGCCTCAGGCTCCTCCGCCGCCATTGGTCAGCCCCCTGGAGTCGGCGGCCATTCCTCCTCCATGGCTCCTCCCTCAGTCGGCTCCACCATGGGCCGTCATCATGGCTGTGGCCTGAGTCCCATTTGGCTCCTCCTGCTCCAAGTCCCTCCTGTTTCCTCTTTGGCTCCTCCCTCCATCGTCTATCGTCACCTACCTGGACTATGTCTGCCGGCCCCCTCCTGGGTGTCCCTTCTGGGAGGGTGGCCGATATGTCACGCCCCTGGACTCTATCTGTGTGTTTTTCCTCTCCATGTGCCTGCCCTGACCTAGTTTTCCCATGTGTTTGATTGCTCATTAGTTCCAGGTGTGTCTCATCATCCCCTTGTCAAGTCCTGTGTATTTATAGTGAGTCCTGTTCTGAGTTTCTTTGTCTGGTATTGAATGTTCGTCTTTCCCCGCTACGTGTGTGTTGCTGGCTCCTTGGATGTTAATTAAAGTCTGTTTGTTTGAAGTCTACTCCACGTCTCCTTGTTTTTCGCTCTGTGCTTCTCACAGTAGAGCATCGTGACACTAGCAACACTGTATCTAAAAAGAAGTTGTTCAATATTAACTTCTTGTTTATTGAGATTGTGTTAAAGCAATATAATAACAAAATTATTCAGTTGGTCTGAATATCAGCACAGCTTGTGCAAACAAATCACAGCCATGCTGGTATTCAGACCAACGGCACTGTCATTTATATGGTGTTGTTCATTTATTTGTTTAATTAAGGTTAATTTACTTTTATATAATTTTTTACCTCTTTAATTTATGTTCTGTAATCTGAACATATGTAATTTATTATTTTTAATTATAGTCATGACTCTCAACTGGTCCAGAGCAATTTTAAATCAAATCTGCTGAAAAAGTTTCAGTGTCTGTATGAAGGAACATCAAAGCAGGGAAACCCAACACTCCTGAATGAGATCTACACAGAGCTCTACATCACAGAGAGGGAAAGTGGAGAGATCAGTAATGAGCATGAGGTGAGACAGATTGAGACACAGTCCAGGAGAGCAGCAACAGAGGACACACCAATCAAATGCAATGAGATCTTTAGACCTTTACCTGGACAAGACAAAACCATCAGAACTGTGCTGACAAAGGGAGTCGCTGGCATTGGAAAAACAGTGTCTGTGCAGAAGTTCATTGTGGACTGGGCTGAAGGGAAAGAGAATCAGGACGTCCAGCTCATATTTCCAATTCCTTTCAGAGAGCTCAACTTGATGAAGGACAAAACACTCAGTCTTTCAGATCTTCTTCATGACTTTTTTCCTGAAACCAAAGAAATAGAAATATCCAGTGATGAATATAAAGTGTTGTTCAT